TACACCTATTATCTGCCCAAAATATGGTCTTAAGCCGTGACTTGTCGTCTACATCCATACTGAAGTAAAATCTCGAACACCGTGCTTGCATTTTTGAAAAGTACGATTGTAATGCTGCGGCGTCTCCTTCTCCAAGTCGTAATCGTCTCACTTGTTCGATGTAGTTGCGACAATCTCTTTCCACAAAAGTCATATTCTCATACCCACTCGCTTCAACAACTGTGGAGTGAGATTTAATTTAGCGAGGGGCTTGTGGATATTATTTTTGGAGCGGGTGACAATAACTAGAGGAGATGAGGAAAGAAGCGGGTCAGGTGATATGGAGTTAATAGAGTTTTGAGGTTCATGGCTAGAAGAAGGAGATGCCGTGATGTTTTCATGTAGAGCTGGGGGACCATGAGAGGAGGGAACTGTGACGCTCAGCATCTGGACTTGGATATTATGGCACATAGAAGTGGGCATCGCGGCACTGAGGTTCTGGTTTAGAGGGATTGGTAGGTTGGTATGAAGATCCGTAGAGGGAGTTGAGGGGGACGCCAAGGATGGTGTGTCAGTGGTCTGAGAAACAGACATAGAGGTACGCCAATGAGAAAGCGTGTTAGAGGAAGGTCGATCTAGGTAAGAGTGAAGAGAAGTGAATGGAAAAATGGTTTCTACAGACTTGACATGACGCGACGTGTAGACTCGAGAGGAGGTGGGATCAAGACATAGATAAGCACTTTGAGTGGATGAATAACCTACAAACACACAGAGAGATGAACGAGGAGCAAGTTTGTGGGGAGAGTATGGTAGGAGCTAGGGATAACATAGACATCCAAAACTCCGTAGTTTAGAGTAATTGGGAGAAACATCGAAGAGTTTGGCATAGGGGGAGAGGAGCTGGAGTGTTGGAGTGGGTAGACGATTGATGAGATAAACTGCAGTGGTGAAAGCATAAGACCAATAAGAGAGAGGTAGGGATACATGAGAAAGGAGATAGATCGGTTTCAAGAATATGACAATGACGACGTTCAGATTATCCATCATGTTTAGGTGTGTGAGGGGGAGTAGTTAAATGAGTAATGCCATTGGTAGCTAGAAGGATGGAAGAGCTTGATATTCCCCTCCATTGTCTGAGTAAAAGGTAATGATTTTTCGATTGAAGAAATTTCTACAAGGGATTTGAATCTTACAAAAACATCATGCACATGAGATTTTCGTTTAAGTGGATATAGCCATATGTATTTAGTGAAGTGGTCGACAAAGATCACATAGTATTTGAAATTATCAACAGAGAAAATAGGAGAGATCCACACATCAGAGAATATAACTTCAAGAGGGGAAGACGTAACTATTGAGGAAATTGAGAAAGGTAACTTGTGACTTTTATTGCATTGACAGGAATTACAATTGAAATTCAAATTGAGAGGACTCAACAATTCTAAATGAAAGTTTGAGGCAATATGCTTAAAAATAGAGGATGATGGGTGTCTTAGACCATGATGCCATGCAGAAGAAGTGGTCTTGACACTTGAGAAAGCTAATATTGGAGAGGGCTTAACACGGGATACCAGCCACTCATATACACCGTCCTTAGTCCGACCCAGAAAAGTGTTGCCCTTGTACGGAGATCCTTCACAAGCAAAGAATGAGGTAAGAACTCAATTGATGTATTATTGGATTGACAAAATTGTGAGATAGAGATGAGATTCTTTTTCATAGTGGGAACACAAAGAACATTATTTAAGGAAAATGTATGAGATGGTGTATAGAGAGATTTTGAACCGGTGTCAGTGATAGTCAGACCCGTGCCATCTCCAATCACAATGTCATCAGATCCGTCATAAGGAGCATGAATGGATAGATTGCTCAGGTCGGTGGTAACATGGTGCGAAGCTTCACTATCAAGAAGCCAACTAAGAATTGTCAGCCAGGTTGGCCCGAGGCTGCCATGGAGCTTGAGAACTGTTTTGCCATTGGGAAGGTAGGCGCAAAGATGGCGGTGGCTGCAAGTTAGGATTCATTAACGAAATACAGAGCACTGTGAAATAGTATGTCCTTGAACTTGACACCATTGACAACGACCTAAGAATGGACGAGGTGGAGGACGAGTGCTAGGTGTTGAGGCAGGTGCATCAGCCAATGGAGAAGAGTTGTACATCCATGGTGGGCACTGAGTACGGTTGCCAAAGTGTCCTGGATTGAATCAAGAATTAACCAAATTAGCAGTAGCAGGGAGTGGTGAGGAATTGGCATGATATTGACACAATGAAAGTTATCTGTTAATCAGCTTCTCATGCAATTCATCAAATGAAATTGGTGTGTCACGGCCATTGATAATATCAACAATAGGCTTATACTCATTGTCAAAACCGTCAAGAATTTTCTCGATGAGATCCTCTTGATCCATGGGTTTTCCAAGTACCGCGAGTTCATCTGATCGACTTTTAATAGACTGCATATAATCAGAAATTGACTGTGATCCCTTGGTTGCATGTTTGATATGTTCCTTAATTTGTTTGATGTGTCCACGAGAAGGCTTTGCATATGTGTTGGCAAGAATATTCTAGGCATCACATGAGGTTTTTGATTGAGTGATAAGAGGAATGAGAGATGGAGTAAGAGTACCAACAAGAATGCCAAAAATAAGTTTATCTTGACGTAGCCATGTTTGATATTCTGGATTAGGAGTAGTGATATTGTTGATAGTGGTTGTCACCGGAGGAGAAGGATGAGATCCATCAATGAACTTGTAGAGATCATAGCCGATTAGAATTGCTTCAATCTGAAGTTTCATGAGAGGTAATTAGCATATGTGAGTTTGATGGAGTTGTTAATATTGATGACAGTGAGAGGTTCGGTGGGTTCTTGTACATTAGGAATTGTGAGTTGTGGATTTTCATTGGCCATGGTGGAAGCTGCGTGAGTTGCAGGGATGAAGAGGAAGGTGGCTAGTTTTGAATCAAGGCTCTAATACCATAAAGATTATGCATTATGGTATTACTTCAATAGGTACAACTGAGAGTATACATATATTACAGTTGTAATCATATTCTGGGTAAGTATAAAGAAAGAGGAAATGACTGACAATTAGGAAGGAACTAACTAACAATTGGGAACTAATTGATGGGAAAGTAATGGAAGAATATAATTTAGGAATATCCTTTATCAGTTGATACTAACTGGGTCCAACTTAACAAAGGATTAGGGATGTGTACAGTTTGATACTTCAATGCATTCTCGAGTACATCATTCGACAATAATAAATAGCAGCATGATTCTCTAGCCATCCACGTCCAAAACCATCTAGTCCTCGTTTCCAATAAATCTCGTCGACTTTTTCGTGTTTATAATATGTAAAAGCCCTCATTAGATTTTAACCATGACAAACTTGTCTTAGTAAGTGTTAAAAGAAAGTAACAAATCTAGAACACATTTATCTGCGGTCGGAATGAAAGAATACAAAGTTACAATCCTTCAAGAAAATTGTTTGATAAAGTATTTGTTATCTTTCTAAGCATTAAACAAATTCTGTTTGAAAAGATGTATAATAACATCTTTAATATTTAAGTCAAATGGTTTCAAGTGCCAGATTGCCCATCAATTTAACCAGGGGAGCAGGGCATTTTGTCACAATATCTAACTTGGAGGAATTTGAGGCATGCCCAAATAAAGAGAGACTAAGCATAGCAAGCTCTCCAACAGATAATCTTGAGGACAAATATCCTTGCCAGTAATGAGGTTCAAGACCAAAGAAAGCATCGAAAAATTTCCTCATCCCATTCAAATCGAGTTTTAGTAGAAACTCCATCCCAAATCTGAAACATTCCCTGGTGCATCTTCTCTCAGCGGGCCATAAGCCATTCCACGCCTTATGATAAAGCAGTGTCCCTCTTATCATTCTGGTTGAACCAAGGCATTCAGCAATGGCTTCAGCAAGAATTGGGGCGAGAGCCATTGTTCGCGCCACCATGTAGCCAGTCGATGGATGCACCATCCCAGAATTTCCACCAATTGCCATCACTCTTTGAGGGATCTGCGGTAGGGGTCCTCCCATTGGGATCAAACACTTCTCGTCCTCAATCACACTCTGTACTTTTATACCTAAATGCCTTAACCTTGCCACCATTCTTTTCTTGACCTCCATGTATGACAAAACAGGTCTGCTAACAAGAGAAGTTTCTTCTAGGAATATTAGATTTGAATCAAAAGGCATCACGTATAGAAATGTTGGAAATCTTGAATTACTAGAGCGTAAATATGGCTCGTTTCCAAGATGAGAATCCCTCCAATCCATGAGAACCATCTTATCCAAATCAAAGGGATGATTATCCACTTGGGCTAAAATACCATGAGCAATCTGATAACCAGGATTTCTTGGCTTATCATATTCAATCAATGCACTTGCAAAGCCACTTGCATCAACAATTAAGCTTGCCTTCAACTCAATGCCATCATCACAAACAATTGAAGACTCAAACTCCTCATGCTCTACTTTCCAAACTTTGGCCTTATGGAATTTGACACTATTTGCCACACATCCACCTAACAATTTCAACTTCAATTCCTTTCTACTAACTCGACCATAAGCACGATCCAAGTACTTGGTTTTATGATCATCAACAAAAACACAAGTCATGGGCCATGTTTTGTCTAAGCAATCCTCAAGTCCTAAACTCTCAAATTCATCAACCCACACACCATAATTATTTGGCCACATAGAAAGGGGTGAAGGATCAACACAACATACCTTAATCCCATACCGGGACACTTGCTCAGCAAGCCGAAGCCCAGCCGGACCTGAACCAATGATGATCACATCAAAATGACGTCGATCAGAGGGATCAAACCATGAGAGATCAAAATCTATTGGTTCCGGTTTCGACACAGGTTCCAAGTCAAGAAAGCTAGGAAATTTGCTGCTTTTAACTCTTTGATGAACTTTTCTTGAAGGGATGTTATGTAAAAATGGAGAATTCAGTGATGAATTAAGCCTAGAAGTGCAAAGTAGGGGAAGTGGAGAAGGCCTGAAAAGAGTTTCCATGAGTAAAAATCCGAAGAGGTTTGAATGAAAGAAAGATTAAAAGTAGGTACCTATAAGAGAGTGAAAATTTGGAAAAAGTTATGCAGAGGAATCATAGTGTAATGCAGACAAGCGATGCTCTTTGTGACCATTTTGGACTGTATAGAAACTGTATTTGTAATTTTCTATGTAATATAATAAAACGTTATAGGAATTTAATAATTCCAGTCCTTGAGGCGGCTATTTTATTTTTCGTTATTCATGAGAGAACCAAACTTTCTTCCACGAAATACTGTAATTGTGTTGGTGCGCAGTAGAAAATTACAGACGTGGTTTGGTCGCAACTAAAGTGGAGTTGAGAAAGTAAAAATAAAGTGAAGATTTTATTTAGCAAGAATTCTAAATTCAATTTCACCTTTATTTCGGTGCAATTATGAAGCTGGTGGAAATGTCTTCATTCTATTCAAATTAAGGTTGAATTGGATGGTACATGGAGAATTTAAAAAGATTTTTCCCTCATGTACAGAAAGAAGCCCACCAGAATTTGGCCACACTACACAAATAGGCGGGACCCACCATGTAAATTTAAAAAAAAAAAAAAAAAAATTGCACGAAACCCACAAATATGTGTATTCTAGTGAAATTATGTGGCTTCGGTACATCCAGCCCCTATCATTTAAAAAACATACCCACCAATTTACTTGAAAAAGGGCATTCCATACAGTATAATATGGCTCCTGTGAATTACGTGTTTGGACCCCACCCCATTGCGACTTGTCACCTCTAGTCCACTCCTTATAATGGGTGCAATATTATTTGAATGAAAAGAGTAATGCTATTGAATAATGCCATTATCAATTATACCTAATTTAAGTGGCAATGGATATCTTGATTTATTATTTAAATGAAGGTTTGATGCATTTTAACATATTGAATAATGAATCAGATGATCCATTGTTACCTAGATTAATGATGATCATCGCTAGTTAACCAAAATTCAGTGTTCATTAAAGTTGTAACGCATTTTAATGCATTGAATAATTAATGAGAGGGTCCACTATCATATAGATTGATGATTATACAATGTTATTCATCATTAAAGCATCTCCAATGCATATATCTATTTAGAGGACACGAAAGTAGAAAGACTTCCGGCCTACATGACATTAATATCTAATAAATATACATACAAGTTTAAAATTAGTCTCCAGTGCGTTCTATAAATACCTATAAGTATATTTTATACGCTAATTCGAGCTTCTAAATTTGATTATTTAATACTAATTGAGCATATATCTATCTAATTTAGTGTATATTTGATTAATTGTCAGAGAAAATCCAATTTGAACGCAATTGGTGCGAAGAAATATATATATATTTTTAAACATATTGGAGTTTATTTAGAGTAATTGAAGATCAACTGGAATACATGTGATCAATAAGAACTAAGAGACCAATATGAAGAAATTCAATAGTTTAGGGAGCTAAATCCAACATTTGAAAAGTTTGATGATAAAATTTTAAATTTTTGGAACTTGCAATGGACCAATTGCAAATGATTGTGGAGGACGAAGATCAAAACATAAAGATTTAAAGATTAAGGACCCATGGTGCAAATAAGGAATGACTCGAATTGAACTAGAGGACGAAGTCAGGGACCATCTTTAATGGGAGGCAAAATTTGTGCGAGGCAATCGCATCCTGGAAAATTATTCAACACTTCAACCATGTGATTACAACAGTTTGTACTGTGCGATCGCATGAGAAATTCTAGCCAAAAAATATTTGTTTCCTATTTTGATTCAATCTTTACTCGAAAGGCAATTAGAATACGAATTTTGATTGAGTTTTGGAGACTACATATACAACCATCCATCTATTAATTAAAGGGAAGCTCTTGAAATACAATCGACGCATGTCTTACAAAGAAGAAGCCTAAGGAGGAAGCTTTTGATTACAAATACATGTTTCTTTCAAGCTTCATAGAAATTTGATTAAAAAAAAAAAACACCTCCATACATGATTTTCGTACATATATTACTTGGGTTGAAGAAGAAAAAGAATCAAAGAGATTGATCAAGGTGTCATTGAAGAGATTCAAGGATTTCAAGATTTCTTTCTACCTTCTTTCCAAACTTTAGTTTTGAATGATGTTGTATCAATTTAATAAGGGTGCGTTTGATTGCAAGGGTGGAAAATGGGTGGAAAGAAAATATTTTACAGTGAAAAGATTTGCCTAGAAAAT